AAAACATTATCCCAGTAATGCCTACACAAACATTTCAATAACGATAAAGCTGTTCTTACTGAAGCAGCGATATAACGAAAGCACTTTGGTCATGTCTCCCCTTATTTTGCAAATTGGTCTGCTAGAGGGCAGCATCCTATATACAATAAAATACATTCTTTTTTGTTTATTGTTGACATCGGTAGCATCCAAGTTGCTTAAACATATTATAAATAAAGATAATTTATATATTAATGTCTAAATTGGTGTATAAAGAGGGAAAGAAAAGAATAACACAACTATTTGCGCGGTATTCTGTACTTCCAGGTGTCTGTTTGCCCATTCGATTCAAACTGGACAAACTGACCACTGGTCATTGGGAGTCACCCAAACTGGATAATTGTTAATAGTTATCTTCACAGTCTGAATGCTTGAAGATGTTTAAATATCAACTTCGTTAGGTTGGTAATTGTTGAAGTTTTTTGGTACAGTTTGCATTTTGACACTTTTAATGTCTGTTTACAAACAAAACATACATACAAAATGTATACATTTAAGATAATTGTAACGAACCCATGTAATTGCATATAGATTAGATTATAAATAGAACGTGGCGACAACGTTGTAAAAAATGTTATACACTAAAAAACGTCCCACAAACTTTTATTTTCAACGTTAACTGCAACGTTTTCATGACGTTTTGTGCCCACTGCACACATGCATTGAACATCTTAACTGAGTTTAAATATATCAGTCTTCAACTATCTAAGTCCAGTGTCATCTAGTGTTTATAATGAATTAGGAATGTAGCGTTTGAAGCGGTCTGATTGTTTTAAAATGTTCTGTTTTATTCATAAACTTGTACCCGTTCTTGTTATTTTAATTTGCAGGTACCATTGTTATTAACAGTACATTGTAGGTAATTAAACAATTATCATATCACATCATAATCCCTCCTGCCTTCATATCTTTTTTGTATAATACAATCTTTATAGGCTTTCCGTTGATCTTTACACGAAGAAATGTTGGTCCGTTCCTATGGTGCTTGAAAACGCCTCGAGCAACTTTCTTAAAACACTTACTCCCACAACGTTACGTGATAGAATAATAAACATATAGTTCCGTCTCCTGAACTAATATGTCGTCAGCTTTCCATGAATTAAATAATTTCATCAAATTAACACGTTTTTTTGCGGAAAAAAGTATGAGCAAATACATCCATTATATGCCGTTGTTTTATGGGAGTTTCTGTATCTTGCTATGCTTACTAGGTATCAAAACGGTATATAAGTGCGGATTTGTTGATTAACTGACCGCTGAAGACATCTTCAAGATTCAGTAGTGATATTTTTTCAGTAACATGTTTTTCCCCAAAACTAACACATGACTTTTCAGCAGTTATTCATAGGTACTTTCGGCACAGGGCGTCACAATTGCATTACTTTACAATTATGACTCCAGTCTCGAGGGGAAGAAAAACGAACCTGTGCATCAATAACGGATGTGAATGGAGCGAAGCGCAAGGGAAACTTGTTGGACAAAATAATTGTCCATATCCTTATATAGTTAAGTATATACCGTAAAACACGTTTTGAAACTCAAAAAAAAGATATGCTCATAAGTGAAACCCGTTTAAAACGAACACAGCAGAACCTCTTAATTAGTTCTACAGTGAAATGCATTAACATTGTTCTTTAGAATAAACATGTTTTCATAGCGAACCTCTAGGGACTCATGAAATTAGTCTTCTGCAGCTAAACACATTTATAGCACACTTTCTGTGGCGTATACAATTTGTATTGCACAGTGACATACCTCATTTTGTCGTCTCAGGCAAGGTTTCGAACATGCTATAAGTGTTCTCAAACGAAGTGTGTCTAACTCAACGATTCTTTTTTAACATTTCCAAAAGGTACCACACGTCCTAATCTGTAAAACGTTTATAAAGATGCGCCTCCAACTCCGATTAATCAATGCTTTAACGGGAGTTTAGTGAGAAGAGGGATAAAATACATATTTTACACTTACAGGTGTTGCATATTCAATATTCACTTATTCAAAATAGTGATATATCTTTTCATAAGCATACCTGGGATTTGATTTTCCATTTCGATGTTGATCTTCAGAAAACCTCTCTGGAGTTGTCAATGGTTTTCTTTGAGGAAGTGGTGGCGGGTCGGTCGAAAGATCATCAGGTAGATCATTATTGATATCCTGTATACAACCTTGTCTGGGGATAGCCATGTGTGACGTTGTGTGGATGAATATCAGTCACAACCATATGTTCGCTACCACCAGTATGCCACTGTAGAATAGCTTCTCCTGAAACGTCTCTGGGACTAGGACATAATTGTATGCTACCAACATAAATATTACATCAATATATATGCCAACGGAACAAAGGCAGGATTATACTATACTTATCATCTATACACATCCCTTGTCGTGCAAATCCATTATACGATGAAGTCGTGTAAGATGAATAAAGAATCGCTGCCAAATAAGTACAACTCCCGATAACGTGATCACCAGAGTATGTGCATTGTTGAAGTGTTTGTGTACCGGAACAATACCATTGAGTGAGGTTTCGAAGCTAAAACAATGGCTGACTGAAACCTTATCTTTGTCTCAAAAACAACAGAGTTTTCGTTTCCTTATTTAACGGAGGGGTGTTTTCTGAAACGACGCCGTATCATTACTTCCACATAAATGTACATAGAGTAATCGTTAAATATACACAAACTGATTCAAATATTATAAATTACACATGTCACACTATTAAGGAAATTCATGACTAAGGAATATTCATTAAACTTTGATTTCCAGAGGAAAGTATTACTGAATGAAGGAAGTTTGTCTTTCCAAAAATATAACGATTTTCTAAATAAAATCTATATTTTAGGGGTTTCGTTATATAAAAGTATGGTGGTACAAATTGTGCCAGGGTTAAACGTGTATTATCTTAGAGGCTTGTCTTTCCGACTATATTTTTGTTTACCTCTCATTTATTATTCCTTGCATTTCACAGTCAAAACATGTCTTGTTTACAGTACATATACCTCTCTTACAAACCCTTTATTGCGACGGCTGCTATAGAAGTGTTTGTCCATGTCCAGGATTAAAGCATGTTTGTCATATGACAAGTCTGCGAAATACTGTTACATTACACTGTATTGCGTTAGGGCGACGTCTGAGAATGGAAGTGATTTCGTTATAGCAATCATCTTGTTCATAATGCGTAAGATATTTGATCTGCACATAATACTGTGCTGTACCAATAACCTGTGTTATGATAAGAACTCGTCTACAAGAAGACACCATTCTTAAAGATGAGAATAATACCAGGTATTCTGGTAGATTTTAATCAACCTACTATGTAATGATACTTCCTCTTATCGATAATATATTTACCTTACCGTTATTTTATTATTCATTTAGCATGGGCTGATGAAAATATATCAAGATAATCTTCAGAATACAATAACTTGTTTTCTATGCTTTATTATGCAAAGTCTGTTGATCTCGATCAGCATGTAAAAGGACAATATTCAGATGTAGGTTGTGATTCGTGATGACTTATCACTTGTCACTACATAGTCTTTGAAAACTGTGTCGTTGATGGGACTTTGATTACCATGCATCACGAGACACAATTCTTAGCGTATTAATACAACACTGACCGGAACTACAATATCCAATATAAATAAACAAGACGGCTGCTGAAATATCGCTGGGCATTGTGAGATTTGACAATACCATTGTAAATTTATGTGCAAAAAAATAAATAATAAAAAACCCTTTTATTATTACGAAAAAAAACAATGTCTGCAATATCGTACAAAATGCACATCGGTTGAAATCACCAATGCCGGCAATGGAAAAAAAATAACGCTCATGCAATTTATCAGAAATATCGTCTGCTACACTGCACTGATGAACAGGTTTCGTTACAAATGTCTGAAATACACTTATTATATAGACCTACTGATACATATATTACAGACCTACTGATATGAGTCACAGCACACATAAACATTTCAGACATTTGTAACGAACTTGTGCTTCGTCGCAAGATCACTCACTTCAAACTCTGTCAGTTTCACGCGTCTCGCATCCACCATATTTTAGTTTCTGACGACATGTCCAATAACGAGGATGTTATAGAATCTACCGACTATTGTCAGGTTCCCATACAATCAACAAATACATTTACGCCTGGATTCTTCACAAAATGAGCAAAGAGAAAAGTTCGAATTAACTTCCCAAAATAACTCCCTCGTGAAAGGAAAGGTCGGATTTACAGTGTTCACTGTATTTGTCCATGCACGAAATTTGTTCCGGGAAAAATCGAAACAATTTAATATCCAACTTTCAGCTCAGAGTTCTATTGATAAACTTAAATCACCCTATATACATATCATACGCAATTGTATTGATACTAAATTGTGGAATAAAATTGAAGTGTTTGTTAAAGTTTCAAAGTACTACTTTGTTTGCCAATCAGCACTCGACAATACGCTGTTCAAATTATTTAACGAAATTGTGGGGACTGTCGATAAGGCGGGCATTTTTAATTTTGAATATAAATTATAAGTTAAAAAAGAACATAAGAGGCAGGGAAAACGTTAATATAAGTATTGAACTGTTTTTGTATGGTATTTATGATCTATTTGAATGACACAGTCTGTTTGATCAACTCCAGTTAATACATGTATATTTTTGAGGACCAAACCTTCATAACGTCTACACAAAAGACATATGATTGTTTAACGTTATTGAAAAGACACAACTGACTGGGCATTTAGATTTGTACGGTAGCCAAGGAAAACAATTTCGATTTATTATTAATGTCATCTGTCTTGAGATTTTAACTTAATAGAACTAACTTGAATTTTTCTCATTGATTATTGCTTATGGTGGTTAACGTTTGTTCGACTACCCGGGTGCTCTATCGTATTGCAAGGCACGAAAGTCAGATCTATTTTCATATATTTCAAGACGCGGAGTTATTGTTTAAAATGTTTATTCTATACGTGTTTGTAATCTCGGTTGTTTTGTATGTGTGATACTGTTAGCCATGCATAGACCGTGTCCCAGCCAGACCCGTCCTTCACGCGTCATATCAACTCTGCATGCGCCATATAAGTTTCACCTCCGGTCCGAAACATTCCAGGTCTGCTGACTAGTGCCTGTTATCTGATGTCTGCTGACTAGTGTCTGTTATCTGAAGTCTGCTGACTAGTGTCGGTTCTCTGAAGTCTGCTGACTAGTGTCTGTTATCTGATGTCTGCCGACTAGTGTCTGTTATCTGATGTCTGCTGACTATTGTCTGTTGACAAATGACTAATAGTATGTGGGTACTGGGTGGTAGTCTGTGACTTAAATTTCAGACTAAGGTTTCATAACTTGCTTCTGAAGCCTTTTCCGCCTTCATTTGCTTTTAAGTAAGAAATACATGGCAATGAGCTACTTTACATTACCTTATATTTAGTGTTTATTCACCAATAAGCAAAGATATTAAAAACTGAGGAATGGGAAGCGAAACAAGTGCTTCTGGTGTAGGCAAAAAGAGCAAAACGGGAATCGATATAGGAAAAACATGTTATGCTTAGAATGCTGATGAAATGATGCAAGGAGGATGAATACAATTTGGTACCATATGCTTTTGCAGTACTTTATGGAGGAAACATATGGTGTCCCGGTTATAGCGATATACTAGGACTCGCGTATAAAGGAGAAAGACCCTGACATGCGGTTACTGATGTCCGATATTCATATGTCATTCATCTTAATATTATTAGTTCGAGAAAACCAGGTTATTTCGATCCACCATATGTGTTGCCATTAAAGTCAAATGTATCTGTTAGTGAATTGGCTCAGTGAGTCTTTTTTTGAGTACCTTGATCAATGTCCGACCTGTTACCACTAGCAATATCCCTTCGGAATCTATCGCCGCGGCTGTCACGATCTGTGATTCCAATTCCGTCACGGTTGATTTATTAACGGTGGTAGAACCATCGTAATGACTGCATATTCGTAGAATATTTCTCCTACCAGACTGTACAATGATTAGGTCATTGTTGACGTCATAGCTGAGAGCATGGTTAGCTAGTAATCTCAGATTTGATTGATTAAACCTTCCTAACAAGCTTCCCGCGTCGGATAAAAGAAGCACTGTTCTATTGCCATGATCAGATACAGCAATATCCCCATTTGCATTCACAGCGACGCGGAAAGGATATATAAATAAGTTATCTTGAGTGACCTTTGAACCCTTGACACAATAAGCATCTTTCGCACAAATACACCTGGTACTACTGCTCCTGTTGTTGCTTGATCGACCTTCGACCTTTGATCCCGAAGGCTGTGAACGAACAGATTCTGTATTTCTTGAACATGCCAGGCAATGTTCTCGGATAGAGTAACGTATCAAGCATGCGCTTTGACAACCACAATCCTGTCCCGGTTGGTTAGTGAGGTTCGGCACCATACAGGCAATCAGACAATTGTCCACTGGACTAACAGCTATCCCTCGGACGAAGGCCGGCGTCATCACTAGAGTGTACAACTGTCAACATAAATATTCTGTATGTTACTATGTTGCGTTAATGATTTTATTTAAGCATTAGATGCTTTAGCAAATGTTTTACGGTTCTATAACACACATTGATATTGATCACAAACTTTTTAAATTTCTCAGGATTAGCTATAGACATTTGTGTTATAGGACCAGAACAATTTTTGCTAAAATATTCATTATTTATATTTTGACATTGCAGTTATACGTTGTTAAGTTATTTAGAACAGTTCTTTCAACAGCAGATTAATTGTTGACAACAATGAAATTGATGACAGCACAACAGATATTGATGACGTTACAATAGCAATGGTGTTATAGTCACAGTATTTGCCTTGGCATTGCATTGAAATAGAAGGATGCAGAAAAATATAAATATTTCAAAGTAGATGATGGGGAAACCCTAGTGTCACTTTAAAATGTCATCTCAGATGAATTTGGTTAACTTTTCACATAAACATATAGGTTTATGATAAAACGTAAACGAAAAAAAAATGTATGTCGACTATTCCTTCTATTATAGGCTTTATTCATGTGATGTTGTATAACCTGAATATTATCTTTTTCTTTTTTATCAGAAAGGCTTAAATGTGGTGCATTTTTGGTATATATCGTATACACCTACAAAGAAAAACAACTGATGACGGAACTACTTTTTACACTTCAGAATGTAAAATTACAACGCAGCTATTTTTTAGAGCAATTGTTTAGTTTACGTAAAAATTAAATAAAAGTTTAACTGTGCATTTACAACGTGTTTGTCTACTTTTTTAGAATAAATTATAAGGAATGCCCAAGATTTTGTTTTGATATATACGGTTCGGTATATACCGTATATATACCAAAACAAAATCTTGGTCATTCCTTGAATATTGAAAAATATCAAAATGAAACAAATGAATGTTGAAATTTAACATGTTAACGATGCTATATTAAGTGTAAGTGTCCGGCGTTTATTAGGAGACAGACGTTTAAGAATATTTCGGCTGAATATATCTGTCTATAGGCTATGGTTCCAATGTATTAACCAAGTCAGAATGTTTTATCCTACCTGCAGTGTCCTGGTAAGTACTTTGATACGCCTTGACTTCGGACATGATATATATAGATTGCCGTCTCTAGAGCTGGTAACGTCGTCAATAGGCATTCTCAAATCAACGGAGTCGATAGCGTTGCCATGGTAATCATAAAGTTTGATGACATTACTGTTTTGGAATGTAATCCACATACTCCCGTCTTTGTTTGGTAAGACATTAGATATCAGTTGCCCCGATGGCGTGAATTTTGTCGCAAGAAAGTAAGGAGAAGAATTCTCCTTCTTTTGTCCCTTTCTCGTGACGATTTTATTCAGTAATCCATCTGACCATCTCGTTTTGTTGACGCGCCGAATATCACTTGTGACTATCCGGGATCGTTGATGCATGCAGAAATTTGATAACTGATTATCCTTTAATATATTTTTTGGAACCTTAACAAACGTTTCATCCTCGTCGTCACTGCTATCGTGTGAGGAATAAACAAGTCTGTGATTTGATAGACGACACCCTTTAAGAAATGTTTTGTTTGTGTCATCCACTGGTGACAATTGTTCTACACTTTCCGCTACGGGCGGTTCATCATTTCCATCCATGGACTCTTCTAATGATTGCAATACTTCCAGCAAGTCCTGGTCTGTGTACTGGAATCCGTCTCTTGTGCTGCTAAAGGAATCTTCGTTCAGATTTACTAGTACACCTTTGTCAGCTTCCGAAATGTCGTCTGCAACATTGTAATCTTTCTCTGCTTCAAAACACGTTGTCAATGTCAGAAAATCGGGATCATATAATTTGCATTGTGTTTCGTGGCTCTCATTGAAATCGATAAATAAAGGATCAAACTCACATACACGTTGGGAAAGCAAAGTTTCGTTTGAATCGAAATCTGTTTGACTAGATTTGGTATTTGAGACTAATTCCGGTGTAAGAACATCGTCGTCATCGCCAGATTTAAACCATTGATGAGAATGTGTACAATGCCGGTCTGTCATTGTATTGGATGTATAGTCCGGATCTTCATTTGTCAAACGGAACATGCTGTTCTGGCTGAAATATTTGTTGAGAGCAAGGGTAGACTCTGGTTTACCTTCTGAGGGACGATAAGGATTGTAAGAATGTGTACGAGACAAATCGATTTTACATGTACGTATATCCATTGGAACAATTTCCTTATTACTTGTTTTTATGTTACCTTATATACATAGTATAAAGTGGAAACCCATCTATGACTCACACATTTAAAAGGACTTCACCTTACATAAGGAAGATTGAAGAATCAATATTTGATTAGATAATGTATTTGTTGACTTGACGAATCAAATTCATGTCAAATATATATCATCACGTGTCTCCTTCCATGCGGAAATAAGACATTAATATTTAACGTCACGTACAACTCATACACCCGCGTGACTAAATGCTCACGTCCTACAAGTACGTTTAAGGTAACTTGTCATTAGATGTACTTAATTTTGTGGGTCGGAGAGAGCGGTCATATTTTCCCTCAATTAAAGCACAATAAGGGCATTTACGTAATCAACCATTAAAGAAAAAACGTTAGCATTTTCTTTTTTGTTGTTTCTATATGAAAATGACTTTCGGTCGAACACGTCATAGTTTAAGTTTGAAACAGATTGTGCTGAAACAGATTGAGGGCCGTTAAGGGGCTTCGACAACATGGGTCCGACCGGTGGGAAATCCATTCGGAACTCCTCAGTGGCTATTTCTGTAAGCGTAGATAAAACACCCGAGGTTTGCCGATACATACGGAGGCGTGGTCTGTTCACGGGGCAGTGAAGTTTGTACGTTGTATCGGGCCGAGAGTTACCGATTAAGGGATGACAATAAAAAAACGCCTTTACATATATTCAAGTGAATGAACAGTGTTGGCTTAGATATATATCATAATAAAATATTGCTACCGTAATAAAACAAACTAATTCTTGAAAACATGATGTTGCCTATATTCTTTGTTGTCACTTTATTTTTCTACAGATAGGATTTCGCATTGTCACTATATGAACTACGGTGTAAAAACCACTGTTTCTGTTAAATCAGGACATCCGACTCCTTTAAAAATGGAAATTTCGAGTTAATTCTTCCTTGTGTTACGTCAATGTAAAGTAGTATTGTAAATTTCCTCAATACAGAGAACACTGATGTATTTTAGATATAATTATACCGACAGAACACGTCCTTGTTTATGGATATTTCCATAGCTTTCAACTTCCTCATCAATACACACTCGTGTATTCGTATCAAAGGTCGTAACGGCTATCGCGATAAGCAGGGCCTTGTCGTTATTTCACAACAATGATACATTCCATTTAAAGGTGTACCGATAATTAAAACAGAGGAAATGTGTATCTAAAAATAACGCGCAAAAAATATCAGCGTAAACACATCATATATATAAGCTTTATTTATTTTACAACAATTATGAAACAAATTATTTCAACTTACATCAATCACTCTTGTTGTCACGAATGTTAGCGCGCGGAGGGTCTTAGTGTGGGAGGAAACCAGAGTACCCGGAAAAAACCTACGTGATTGAGCATGTTACCCCAACCCTTTCACGTCCGATCGAGGAATCGTACCCCGGCCGCCTTGGAGAAAGACAAATGCACTATCCACTGTACCGCCCGACCACCCCATATCATGTTGATGTGTGTACGTTTACATAAATATACATGTACTTTCCATTTTTTTCTGGTAATGCCGTACAATATTTACTAGTCCGTGACACTGCCACTGTATAACCCTATAACGCCACCAAGTTTAGATGACATTCACAGCTGCCGAAAATGTCATTGTCCACGTAATGATGATATATTTACTCCACTGACTTCAATACCAATCCCTATCCCTCCCAACCTCCAACTTAAAGATTGCTGTTTTATTTGTAAAACAAGCATACACTATACATAATCCGATGGGAAAGAAATAAGGAGTTTTGAGTATGGAATATTTTATGAAACTTGGTAATTAAAAAAAAACAAAAACGCAGAAGTATTTCACAGATTGTATTTGCCCAATCACGTACTCATTTAAAGCTGAGTAAACTGGAACAAGCGGAGTAAAGTCTTGATAATAATTTCAACTGAGAGCATTTCGGCGCTTCAGTGTGTAAGGGGCATAATTACCCAATTAAGTTATTAAGTTATGCGGTGGTAATGTATACAAGTTACAAATATGGTATTATATACTGAAGTGGACAGCACTGTTGTATCTCTACAATAACAGCAGATGTCCTGCTTACAAACCCATATTTTGCATATCTTTCCAAGTACGATGACCCGTGAGCTTCATGAAAAGGATCCTTATCCTCGAATTTGATTTAAAAAAATAAACGTAACACAGTGTCTCTGTTTAACATAGATTAAAGACATTAACAGTTTGATTACCTTGAGTACAAGTCGGGCTCGTTCGTGCTATTGTCAACAAGGATGGCAGAGTTATTTTCCCTAGGCCACGTGCATGTTAATTCTGAAAATCAAACATATTAGATTGTTGAGCAAATAACACAATGGAACTTACTAACAACGAGCATATTAAGATACGTACAAATCTTTAATTGTTTAAATACTTCCGTGTTGAACGTGATGTAGTGAAAATTTGATGCACAACACTGTCCTGATATGGCAATAAAAACATCCTGGTCTTTCAACTTCCTCATTATAAACACACGCCGCTTGTTCCGTCTTCAAGTAGTCTATCTTTTTAAATCTATATTTACCATGTACTGGTGTTTCTATGTACAATATAAATGTATATTGCATAAATATGCATGGTCAACCACATGATACACGAGGCCCTACATTTTCTCTCTCCATGTAACAGTTCTAGAAATCAAGTGATATAAATCTGTATATACCTTATATATTACGTTTTATTAGAGGACAATACATAACGTATTGTGTCATTGCGATAAGGGCGTCAGTGAAAGATGCACCTGACATAGTTTCTGAGGTACGATAACAAGATAGGTAGATGATAAGTTTCAAATTACGAGTTACATCCCTTTGTACGTTTTGCTGTTTGAAGTATATATGCAATGAAACAATATTAGTGTTCCGAATAACTCTGAACTACCGCATATAAACAGGAAACACGGACGATATGTTCGATAAATTGTATAAACTGTAATCAACTCTATGGGTGTTTAGTCCACATTTATTTTCAACTTCTGCATTTGCATAACAGCACTTATTCCAAATGCTGTTGAATTTAAGCGCATAGTCAAAAGTCAAACAACGTGAAGCTAAAATAAAGAGTGTGGTTCATAACATCATGCCGGAGGCAGTTCAGATCGTTAGACAAATATATCTATTTTAACTTGATTTATGCTTAACCATATACCATGCAGCATACTTTTCCGTAGACTTAATGAAACATCGAAAAATATATAATTTCAATTGGTCGGACTACGTGCTGTCCTCGGGATGGCACGCTTAATTCCCTGTGGGTAGCGGCAAACACACGGCAAGAACTCCATTCAATGTCAGTTAAGTGTTTCTACGATTGGAAACAAACTTACATGTTTGATAGGTCAGGTCCTTACATTATCATATCCGAGTCCAGATTTCCAGCTGGTCAGGTTGACGATCAGACATCTGAAATTTGTCACTCTTGTGACCTCAATACTGTTTGGCTCGTCATATTAACTCTTTCCGTACCGCAACTCCGGTCCGGATTCCGTACCGGATGTACTTATTAGACTCGCCCCCGCGCATATAACAAAATGGTGGATTTTTAATGTACTTTTTAGACTAGGTGTAACTGCCGCAAGAATTAAACAGATAACCGTGAACAAATATTGTTATTGTTTCATGTTCTGGTTCATAGACAAACACTTCTTAATTTTCGCAGCATAATGACTAACTGACAACTGATTATGACTGATTAATCGACATTTGTCTGGCAATAAACGATACGATTCATTGTATTTAACACAGCGTTGTAGTGCAGGTTTCCAATGTGGTTTGATTATGGTTACGAATGTGGAGTCGTTGAGTTTTTTTTTTAAGTACAAGTAGATTTCATCAAGACTTATATTAGAATATTCAAATTTACTTCCATAAGTGTTCGTATCGAATTAAGTTGCCGCCATCTTCTTTACATTTGAGGCACCAAACGCAAACATCTTGCGGCAAATGCGAAAACTTTAAGTCACATAATAAAAAAGTGTACTCTGCACAACTAAAATTATTTCTTCCAAACTGATGGGTTCTGATTTTAGCGACAATTAATTGTTTTTTCGCGACAGTCTCGTGCGATAACCAACTAAACATCAGGCAGATTACATCAAAGTCTCTTGTCGTGTGTACACGACAACGGGGATGAGACGGCCCTTTATTTTGTCGTCTGTACACGACAACGGGGACCAGGATGACATATTGTTGTCGTGTGTACACGACAACGGTACGGAAAGAGTTAAGGTCCGTTACCAATTTATGAATATGCATGTTCACAACTGTCACAAACGCCGGAATAAAGTAAGTTATATTGCTTTGTCTGCTAACATCGTCGTTTACGTCAACGTTTGACATTTTATTTTTATTTTACAACCTCAGAATCCATAAAAAGGAAGTCACTACTTGTACATAATCAAAAGTTGATTTCTTTATCGGTGTAGCTTGTACGAACACTATCTTGTGGTGATACATACAATGTACATACATGCAATGTACATACATACAATGTACATACATACAATGTACATACATACAACAATACACATTGTCATAGTTACACAGACCTAGAATCTTTAGTTAGCAGTTACAATCTTGTTGTTACATATTGCAGCAAATCTTCAACACTCAATGTCGGGTGAAATGTCCTAGTTTGACAGTTGCGCACTTCTAAATGTTACATCGTAGTCCTGATACAGAAAGGGTTTTAGGGAGTGATAGTTGAACCGTACTCTTAGAAAGGGCTGAATCAGGTGCCGGCTCTGAAGATCGAAATTCCGAACTAGACAACGTACATGTACATGACAAACGTGACGCCTTGTTTTGGTTTTTTGAATAAAGTAACGTTAAATGAGTATATCATTGTCGCTTGGTATATGCTGCAACATAACAACTCGAAACAAATCCGAACGGTAGGGCGGAGAAAAGGCACTACAACATTATAATTCCTTCCTACCTGCGTTGTAGGACAT